GGAGGAGGGCGAGCAGGCGGCGGGGTGAATTCAGGCGGATCGTCTTCCTCCTGCGAAAAGCCCCTCCAGGAGTCCTGGCGGGGGGACACCAAATACACTAGCACAGATGTCAAAGCGAGGGGCCCGAACGGTGTTACAAAACGCTTGCCTGTGATGACAAATCTCCCTGGAGGTATTTGGCACCCTCAATGATGGCGAGGTAGGAAAAGCGAAGTTGATCTGCAGTCTGAATCAGGCCCATGCGATGGCGTCTCATCTCCAGGAGAACGTCACGGATGCGCACGGAGGACGGGTCATTACGGACGCACATCTGGGGAGAGGAGAGAGACAAAAAATAAACAAACAAAAAAAACGGTGCGCCTTATGCAGCTACAAAATGAAATAGGACGCCTCAGAGAAGGAATATGAATGGTGGCTGGAAAAATCGGCTTCATTTTTACACGGAATGTAAAGGATGATCCGGTTTGTGAATCGTGATTGAATATGAGATCTTTTGGTCTTCGCGGACACTGCGCCCTGAGCATCCTCTCGGTTTCACTTTCGCCCGAAAAGTCACAAAGCAGGTCAGCTTGAACCGATGATGGCGCACGATCCGCATCAGCGAAAAGTTGTTAAGCGCAGCCGGCAGGGCTGTTGTGATTTTTCTATTCTCATTTTTCGCATTCAAAGTTCGTTTCACCCGCGAATCACCGACGCCACCGGCAAAGAACGGCAATCTGCGGCGCCGGGAGAAGCATTTTCAAACGCTACACGCGCAGGCCGAAGACTTTTGACCCCTTCAATTTCAACACGTGACAAGCTTGTCAAATTTTTGACAACTTAATTGTGGCGCTGACGCGGGAAGACGAAATTGCGGCGGCAGCGGCGTCGACGTCGCTGGGATCAGTCCACCTCTTTTGACACTCTTCAATATTTCTGTTCTTCACAGATGTTGCTTTCTCTTCAGTTCTTCGACATGTTTGTGACGTTGAAGAAAAATGAAGTGCCGGAAATGATGTCATAACATGCCGCGGGTGTTTTTCTATCATCACCCCGCGATGGAGTTACTGTCAAGTGGAAGAAAACAGCTTGGAGCCTCTTTTTTTGAAGAATTGTTGGGCGAGCTGCTAAACCGGCGCTCTTGCTCAAGTGAGTTGAGGTGACTTTGCTCCCACCGTTCAGCGCAACTGTCTCAAGTTTGGACTGGCAAGTCAAAGCAAAATAAATAAATCCAAAATAAAAGTCAAATCAAACGGCAGCGTCGGCGACGTCGCTGGGATCAGTCCACCTCTTTTGACACTCTACAATATTTCTGTTCTTCAGAGATGTTTCTTTCTCTTCAATTCTTCGACATGTTTGTGACATTGAAGAAAAATGAAGTGCTGGAAATGATGTCATAACATGCCGCGGGTGTTTTTCTATCATCACCCCGCGATGGAGTTACTGTCAAGTGGAAGAAAACAGCTTGGAGCCTCTTTTTTTGAAGAATTGTTGGGCGAGCTGCTAAACCGGCGCTCTTGCTCAAGTGAGTTGAGGTGACTTTGCTCCCACCGTTCAGCGCAACTGTCTCAAGTTTGGACTGGCAAGTCAAAGCAAAATAAATAAATCCAAAATAAAAGTCAAATCAAATCAATTCCAAATCGGCCGACCGACATTTTGTCTCTCGAAAAACTCGTCGTTCGGGATTTCAAAATTGCCCAACGTCTTGGCTCGTCCAATGCCAATACTAAAGTCAGCTCGGTACAAACCAGTAATAGGCAGGTGTCCACCAGGCAAAAGGTTCCCGAGCGTCCGATGCCGGCGCTGCAGTGCACCACCACTGGCCCCCGGTCCGAATTCATACAACCCGACTCGCGCACTTTGAACAAGAAATGAAGGAAGGAGGCCGGAGACTCTGGCACCCCAAAGTCAGGCCAGGTGGTGTAGTGGAAATGGAAAACTTCACGTGCCTCCAGTGTCTGCGGGGGACAAGGTGGGGGGGGAGTCAGAGAAACCCGCAGAGTTGGCCAAAAGTCCCACTTTGGTCCGCCAGAACTCACCGAGAGATTTTCCAGCTGGAGACGACGGACCGTGTAGTAGGACTTGGTGTCTTGAGAAAGCAAGCTGACCTTGAAGTTGGTATCCTGAAAGAGCGCCTCCCCCTCTTGTCCGTGCGGCCAATATTGCGCGCATTTGACCTGTAACCCAGGACGGGGTCCGAATCAGCGGTGAGGAAGGACGAGGCGCAACGCGAGCCGCCGCTTACAGATCCTTTCTCGATCACTCTGTTCAGCATCACCACACCGCGACTCCGCTGCTCCCACACCATCTCCCAGAAGTGGCCGCATGTGTTGGGTAGGGGTCCCTAAAACGCAACGGCAATGCGAGCGCATCCGTTCGCAAACTTTGTTTTTTTTTTTTTTTTTTTTAATACAAGATAAATGTCCGCTCCAACTACGCGCGTTATTCCGGAAAGCTGCTTACCTGAGTAAGGATGTAGTTCCTCTGCGCCTCTTCGACCGTTATTAGGCTGGCGTTAATGTAGTTGTTGGCACTCTGCTGCAGACAGATTCGGCTGTGGTCAACTGGTGGGGGAAAGATAAGACCGATAAACTCTTTCATCGCGCTTCCAACTCATATCGTGCTGGATGGAGTGCTCTTTATCTCCGACGTGGCTTTGAGTTCAAGTGGAAACTAAGCACACCGCAAATGAATTGAAAAGAATACATATGTGAAAAAGCGTCATTCCGTTTTGTTGAGGTGCATCACATGAATTCAAGTTGGATAACGGGTCCGTCCGCGGGTGGATCAAACACCTTTTGAGTATTTTGCCCCGATGAGAGCGCGGCAAGCCGTGCAAAAAAAAAAGTGCCGGGCAGATCCAATATTTGCAAATGTGCTTGAAATTTCTTCTGGAAAAGATGAAAATGAAGGTCCAAGTTTATTTTCGGTTCGATCGGGAATTTTAAGCGAGAAGCCCGATCTCTTCGTGAGGTGCGACTGTGCCTCGGTTCAATACAAAGTTGGGAAAGGCATCATGAGGAGTTGAATTGGAGGTTGGACTTACACGGGCTAACATCCCGGTAGCGGTTCCGACTCTTGTTTTCAGGCAGTTTGGCCACCGTGCAGGGCAGGTCACACGACTGCTGACGAATCTCCTGGAAGACAATTGAACCTCGATTTGTGAAAGGTGCACACGACGGTGTGTCGAAGACGGACGGGACTTCCCAACCGGCGAGCTGCTTGCACATTCGTGTGCTGGGAGAGTTTATCGTGTGCTCTGCAGGAAATGTGACTTTGCGGTCGCAAGATTGTTCCAGAGAAAAGAATGCCTTTGGTTGAGCTATCTATGCGAGCCACGTTTAGTGACAAGACAGAACAATGAAATGCTCTTGCAGCAGAATCGACATCAATAACAATGCGCAACCACTTTGGGCGAGATTTTTTTTCTCATGTCGAAAATGTGCCTGGGAAAACACACATCGAGTCCTTTTGACTTCCTCCAATTGTGTTTGGGACACACAGCACCAAACAATTCATAACATCGGCTGAGCATACGGCAGTAGGAGTAGGGACGAGTGCCGAATGCGCACTTGGCATTTGTCAAAATTTTGCAATATGACGTTTAAGGACTTGTCTGAAAACACTTTCAGGCGCCTTCAAATGAAGCTCTGCAAAAAAACGGACGATGAACTACCCTCACACGGTGACGGAGGCCCCCGCCGCCTGGCAAGCGTCACATTTTAGGAGCCCCGCCGCCCGCTCAGCGAGCTCCCGATACAAAGCCGCTGTGGGCGCCGACAAGAGTATACCAAGGTCTTTTCCTGGAAATGTTAGAATTAACAGCGTCAACTTGTATCGCGTACCCCGCTATCTGTCAGGGTGGCTATGCTATGCAAGTCTGTGGTTTTCCTCAGTTTTAGACATGGAGCTGCAAACAGAGGTCAAGACAGGGGCACCCTCCCCACCCGATGATCGATTTTACAAGGCTCCAATGCGTATGACCAATGACAATGAAGTATTGAGTAACATAACCATGTTGACAACCTGTTTCAAGTTTATTTTACACTTTAACACCCTCCCAAGAAAAAGAAAATAGTAAAAGAGGGGCCGCACCAAGGTGCTCGGAGAGTCGCTCCATCACACATCTGTAAACGGTGTTTTATTTTACACTTTAACACCCTGCCAAGAAAAAGAAATGGGAAAAGAGGGGCAGCACCAAGGTGCTCGGAGAGTCGGAGAGTCGCTCCATCACACATCTGGTGTACGTCAATTGTAGCTGAAATAAATATCATCCTTTCCAAAGACTTTCGTTGTCTTGGTTTCCCTGGACAAGACAGTGTGATAAAGTGTCATGCCAGTGAGACATATATTAAAAAACAAAAGATAATAAGTCTGATTTCCTGGAGGACGAAAGGAATCTGAGAATATTTGCTCTAGAGACTCAGCGTGAGACTGGGCACTGTTTTGGGTTTTACGATGTTTAATTTGGGGCTTTTGTGTGAGTGATTTGCTGTTTTAACCCTCTTTGTGACGGAAGGACTGATTTTCGCTCCATATGCGAGACTTTGTATGCGGCGGCGGTTGTTTTAAAGTGCTCCGTAAACGAAGGGAAATGGAGTTGGGTAAATTTGACTTGCACTCGGTCTGAAAACTACAAGTGATATTAAACAGCAGAGGAACGAAGCCTCGACTCCCTTTTTTTGACAGATCCATTTCAGGAAGAGCACACGCATTTCAATACACGAGGTACATGACGACCACTGCACGGCGACTTCACGAACGCCCTTGCCTGGAGTACAGCAAAGAGAGAGCGGGGGGGGATTGCGTGCAAAAAGGCCCGCTTACTCCACATCCAGCCTCGGTCGTCCTAAAAGTGACTTTTTAAGGCAGAATCCACGTTTACCCACCTGGTAAATGGCGCTCCAAATCCGGTTCTCGTCGATTTCCCGAAACTCGGCTTCCATTGCTGACAGTCCAGCTGGAGCTTGTTCTTGCGCCGCCGCGGACGGCGTCACCTCGCTTTAATCGAGATGGCTGTTGGCTCCGAAAAGTGCCCGCAAATTGCGGAGAAAGAACGCCGCCGCCGTCGTGGATTAGATGTCAGCGGAGCAACATAAATGACTTGGATTCGTAATCGGCCTGCCGCTGGTAGCGGAAGCGAGCCGCGGGCAAGCGCCTTCTTCCC